AAAAAGTTATAAAAAATACATAGTTTGAAATTAATTATTTTGGCTATAATTTTTTATATAGTTCTAAATTATGGTGCTCTAAAAATATTTTTTTTTATAGATTTTACTTGAAAAGTAAAAATACACAGTTGAAAAAAATAGTCATTGCATCAACAAAAGAAATAAAAAGAATACACTCTTTTTATAGTTGAAGAAATTGTACACAGTTGAAGAAATAAAAATACACAGTTGAAAAAATTATACACTCTTTTTATTTCTTCTTTGATGCAATGACTATTTATTTCAACTGTGTATTTTCACTTTTTCAGGTAAAATGTGTAAAAGAAAAATGAAAAATTAGAGCACCATAATATATTATGCTGGAATTCTATGTGAGAAGTTCCAACTCCAACATATTATGTTGAATTTTTTTTTTTGAATCATAATTTAGGATATTTTTGTCCAGATTTAATCACCAAATAAAAAAGTAATTAAATTTTGATTAATTTTAAAGCAAGGGCTATATTCAATGAGTAGTAGTTATACATTAGGCGAATTTTAAATTTCTTCGTGTATGAATTGATTGCGGGTCGGACTCATCGGGTTATCCAATTTTGCAAAACCCAAAACCCCCACTCTTCTTCTGAGTAACCAATTTTCTAGCAATGGCAGAAGTCTAAAGCTCCAAAACCTTAACTTCTCCGACCTCCAAAAACAATGTCGATTACACTCTCAGCTCTCTCATCTTCAATCCCATCTCTCAATAAATTCCATAAAATCTCCTCCTCACATTTTCCTTTAAATGCTTGCCCTCGTAATCAGAATATAGCGTTTCCCTTATCTATAAACAGAATTAAACCTTTCAAACTCGAATTGACCCAAAAAAGATATTCTGGGTTTTTTGGTAGTAATTGTGGATTTTCGTTAATTAGGAAAAATGAGTTTATTGTGAAAGCTGAGAATGGAAAAAGTGTTGATAAAGCTGAAAATGAGGCTAGGGGAGAGAGCACAATGCCGGATAGATTCAGGTATTTGACCAAAGAAGCTCCTGATAATCCTGTTAGATGGCCTTGGTTCATAGGTATGTACAATCAAACCTCTTTGTTCCGAAATTATTTGGCTGTTATAGTGAAATGTTGTTATAAAAAACATATATTATAACATAACATGACAAATTGGTTCCAAAGCAAACTTGGATGTGAATAGTGAACTGTTATAGAGGATGACTGTTAAAGAGAGGTCTATTATATACTCCCTTTGTCTCAATTTATGTGATACTCTTTCCTTTTTAGTTTGACTTTAAAAAATGATATATTTCTATATTTAGAAATAGTTTAACTTTAAACTTCTCATGATCAATTGGGACACAAGTATCTATGGCTTGTAATAAAAGCATTTGGTTCTTTCTTAAAAACTGTGCCCAGTCAAACATCATACATAAAGTTGGGACGGAAAGATTAGTATTCTTTATTTTTGAATAAAATTGGCCCAAATAAAGCAGAATGGGTACACATGATTCATATAGTCGACCGCGAGTAAGCATAGTTGATTGATTGATATGCCTGTGAAACTCGTATGTTGGTGGTCTGATTGTACTCTAGCTTTAGTATTGCTGTATGAGAATTCAATTGCCCTTACAAAAAGAAAAAAAATCAGCTTTAGTTTTTCTGTTTTACTTAGTATATTTTGGAATAAAATTGGCCCCAAAAGCAGAATGGATATAAATGATTCATATAGTCAACCTCAAGTAAGCCTAGTTGATTGATTGATATGCCTATGAAAACTAGTCTTGCGTTGTTAGTGTGATTGTACTCTAGCTTTCTTATTGGTGTATGAGAATTTTGGATTGCCCTTACAAAGAGAAAAGAAGTCAGCTTTTGTTTTTCTGTTTTACTTTAGTTTGAATGTCTGATGTTTCAACTTATATTATTTCCTGGTTGTGATAATAGATCATTCTGCGGAATGGACGAAGTCTGAATGAGTGCTGCTCTTATTTGAATGAAGCAAAAACATTGCGATCGTTATAATATAAATGCTGTTATTTCCTAGTAGCAGTTCAATGTCTTATGATAATAGCATACTAATGGTAATTTAAGAACTATTTATCCTCTTGTTTGGTTGTGGTTAACTCCCAAAAATGGAAATTATAGACATTTCCAGTTGCAAGTCCTATTAGCCTGAATCACTGATTTTTCTATTAGCCTCTCCTGTTTCAGTTTAGTAAATAAGATTTTATCAGAAAAACACCAGAAGGAGGAAATGAACTTTACATAATTTCAAAATACACTAGTCAAAAGTGGTCGCAACAGTTGACCCTAAACAAAGTCAATCGCACGATACAATCTCATTGCCTTACTCTGCTTTTTCATTATTATTTTCCTTGAGCATCTTAATTCACTCTTTACACTCCTTATAGGTGCCTCAGTTACCTTTATTTTTTTGTACTAGTTTCTTTTGTTCAAGTCCTCTATGGTTCTCCCCTTGTACTATAATACACGACAGTCTGCTTTGTGCAACAATGCTGTTTACTGGGATCATTGTTTCTTTGATAATGCCTGTGAATTGACGAGCGCTACCAGTATGATAAACTTTTATGTTTGTTTGATTACCGTTTGACACTTGCCTTACTACACACTACGCAAATTTTCATCCCACCCACCATACCCCACAATAAATAAAAGAAAAGAAAACCCGCAAACGACAAGTGTATTCATTCAGGCAATCCATATGCATAGAAAGATTATGACTTATGCAGTACAGGCATATTCTTAAGTTTGAGATCTAGAAATTTGAATCTTAAGCCATGGGATAGGTCAATAATGTACCTAAAATATCATCTGATACACATAATGATTGAGTGGTATAGCTTGATAGAATCACCATTCACCCACCCCCTTCTCCCCTCCCCCCTCTCTCATTGTGTGTTTAGACACACACACACACACACTACATAAAATTTAGTCAATTTTCTATTTTTGGTCATTGATTTAGCTGAGTGCCCAGTCTAGGAAGGAGATTTGTGTAGTTGAGAGTATAGCGGCTGCTTGGAAAAAAAGGAGTATAAGTGCTGCTGAGTTGTTGGGCGATGTTAGTGGTAGTGCAGCTACTTTATCGAGCCTTCCTTAGGGGGAAACGAGGTCACTGTTCTCTGACTCCAATGAATTCCTCAAAATTTGTTGGTTTATTGTTATATCTTTGTCTGGACTACATGGTAGGTAAATAAGAAGGATTAGTTTGTCTCTTCTATGTATGTCTTTTTGTGTTGTAAGCTTGACTTTTTAATATTAGTAAAAAGCAGCCCAAGATGCTGTGTAGTTTTGGTGGGCAACTGGCCAGGACATGTATCAAAGTATCATGTAATTGTTGATCATTTGTGCTCCTTACAGTTCTCATTAAGTAATGGATCGCCTCCTCGTTCTGCACTTTTCTTGCGTGGCCTGCCTCTGTTTATGAAGAAGTGTTCAATATACATAGATAGAGTACTAACTAACTCTGTAAAATGTTGTCGATATGCAGCATTGGCCTTTCTTCTATATGCCTGGAGAACTGTCTTGTGGGAACTGTCTAATTGGAAAAAGGCTGCGGGTGCTGTCTTCCGATCTCTAGTTTACATCCCGAAACTTGTGTTGGCCTTTATATACTACTTCGTAGGGGATCAGATCACAGCTGTAATTAGATTTATTGAATCAACAATTTACTCCATTCGAGCTTTCTACTCTGGTGTAGTTGCATATGCACCACTTCAAGAGCTGACAACGATCATAATTTTGGCATCTTGTGTACTTGCCATTGCTGAAGCTGCAGTTCCAGATTCTGTGAACAGCCAACCATACCTTCTTACAGCAGCTGGTATAATGGGATTCGCTGCTGTGAGAGGTTATATCTCTGAGCTGTTCTTTTGGTTTCTACTTGTGGGCTTGTTTGTCTTTGCTCGATTTATCAGAAAAAGAGACTATGTGTCTTCCGCATTGCCTGCTGCAGCTGTATTAGCTGCTGTCGGAGAGCCTTGGATTAGAATGATAGTAATGGTTTCTTATGCTGCTTTGGCCGTTCTGCAACATTATAAGATGCCTTTGAATAAAAGTGAAGGTGAAACTACCGGTGCAGTTAGGAAGGTCCCGTTGCCTCTGATATGTGCTGCATTGGCCATTGGTGTTCGACTTGCTGCAAAATGGGCTGGTTATCGGCATTTGACTTGGATGATTGTTTGATATGCAACAAGAGGATACTTAGTTGTTAGTTTCTACAGTGACAACATGTTTTCTCACTTGGCAAAATTGTCGCTTGTTTCACTTTTTTGCCTGTCCAATTCTTTTTGTACTTCTTGTCTTTTACAAAGCTTATTTTTCTTTCAAATTTCTGAATGCACTGGAGTTGTGGTCTTAGCCGATGGCCTACCGGAAACATTCTCTCTATTTTCTCAAGGTAGGGTTAAGGTTTGCCTACACATTACCCTCCCCAGACCCCACACATGGGATTTCACTGGGTTTGTTGTTGTTGTACTGGAGTTGTGGTCTTTATTGGTTCTTTGTCTTGGTCAGTTTCCTCGGAGAGATTATTGAACCACGAGTAAAATGTTACTATAAGCGGCAGACATGCCAATTAACAGAAACTTGCACAATAAGGAGAAGTAATTTCACGAAAATTACCTCAACAACAACAATAAATCAGTGTAATCCTATAAATGGAGTTTGGGAAATTACCTCACTTGTCAAATTATATGCTCTACAATAAGGGAGATGCAAGACACTCAAATGATATTGGCTATTTTAGATTTGTGCGTGATTTTGCAAGATTAGTGTGGTAAAAAACGTAAAATTATGAATTTGATTAGTGTGCTAGATTTTCTTTAGTGATTAATGGCAAAAGCTTTCCAACTAGTGGTCTTTTATTACAAGGGAAAGGATCAAATTTGTTATTGAACTATGCGAAATGGTTCATATTTGCCACTAATTTTTGAAGAACATAGTCACTATTTTGGCTATGATACCACAATTTTCTTCAACACTTAAAACCTGCCATGAGCAAGTCTCTACGCCCCGAAGTAGTGGTAGCAAAATGGTTAAAAGAAAATAGTTAATAACCCATATTATTCACTAAAAAATAGGTTGGATAATAAACTTTTTAAAAACGGATCAAGTATGGATAAGAACCATATTATCCATTTAGAAAATGGATAACCAATGGGTCGAAGTTTTACATTTGTAAAGCCTCAAATTGGGGGTTCCTTAAGTTAGGGAGTCTAAGAATTCTCCCAAAATTGATCATATGCAAGAAGTCATGGATAAGATGATTACCTATATTATCCGTCGGTTGACCCGTTTTTTATCCGTATTAAATATGAATCGGATCGGATAATTGGTCCATTTTTATTACTCATTTTCGACTCGAACCATATCCGACCCGGCCCGACCGTTTGCCACTCCCAGCCCTCAAGCTTAAAGTAACCACCCTCAAACTTTAAATAAGCCCAAATGGAACTAAAACTATAATTGCACTAGCAAGTCGAATCCCTAATCATATCGGAATTTCATCGACACAACTCTATCATCAATCCTTCTTAAATCACCAATAGTGATGTCAGAGCTACATATCGACCTCCTAATACCAAAACAAATCAAGGAAGAAAGAATTTAGCTCCTGAATCATTATAGCAGTATTGTGACAATTAATGTGAGGGATCAAACATGATGGTCAAGAGAAATAGAACTGTAATTTGAACAATTTTGCAATGTTTAAAAGAAGGTTCACCTATTGAAAAATCAGTCAATAACTAGAAATATAATGTCAAGAATAGATCTAACTTGAATTATTAACGGGAATGATAAATTTGAACCTTTTTCATTCTTAGTTTAAACTAACAATTCCAAGATTATATTTTTATCATCATTTTAAGAGTCTAATACCACTTCTAACTAGTACAGATGTAATAGGATCGCACAAACTTAAAAACATAACTAGTACAATCTAAAATTTCAATATTTAGAGTAGATAATAATATTGCTTAATAGATAAAATACAAAACTAACCGGTCGACCAAAATAAATTGCATTCGCTAGCCGAAAAGTGGATGTCCAGCAGATGAAAGTAGCGGAAATGAGGATATTGAGATGAATGTGTGGGCATACTAGGAATGAAGTTATTGGGGACAAGGTGGGAGTGGTCCCAGTGGAGGCAAAGATGCGTCAGGCAAGGTTGAGATGGTCCGGGCATGTTAAGAGGACAAGCACAGATGCCCCTGTCAGGAGATGTGAGAGGTTGGCCTTGGGAAGTGAGAGGAGGGGTAGAGGTAGACCGAGAAAGTCTTGGGGAGAGGTGATCAGGCGGGACATGACGCAGCTTGAGCTAACCGAGGACATGTGTAACACCGCGTAAATTTGACTTAGGTATGGACGTGTTAAATGAGTAGTAATGTTACATTTTAGACATGTGAAGTTCTTTGGGATGAGTATGAGTGGAAATAGTTATTTTAGAATCAAGATGGAGAGTGAGGTGCATAAGATTCGACAAAATCGACTAAGTTTACAAAAGGTCAGTCTTCCAGCAAGATTTAGCGAAAATGTGTAAGGAGTTTGGGAAAACTCAAAACGAAAAAGTTGTAGGCCTTTGAAATAGCTTTCCAACGATATATTGTGAAGTCAGAACGGATTGTGCAGAAAGTTATGTGTGTTTTACAGAGTAGTGCATAATATGCGCGCCCAGAGGGTCACATGCACGGCCGCACACTTGTGGCAGTGCTACTGCCATTTTGCGCGGTCAGGCCTTCAAGTGCGCGGGGAAGGAGGGGGCGCACTTGGGGGGTCATTTTAAAGCCCTACTTCTTCCCCCACACCCCCAAAACACAAAAATTTGCTCTAGGAAAGGGAGCTTTCAAAAACCTAACTCCTTAAAGGTCCCTCCACCATCCAAGGTAAGTTCTAATGGTGATTCTAAGTTAATTTCAATTTTCCAACATCTTATTAACATGGGTAAACCCTCCATATCATTAGATATTCGATTGGGACATCATTGTTGAGAGAAGAAACCCTAGAACTCGAATTCAAGAGGATTAAACTTCAAAAATGTAATATCTTCACCCTCTAATTGATTATATCATTGGATTAATGATTATAGACTCTATGTTCATGAGATATGAGTTGATGGATTTGATAGAAAAGCATGAAAAATTATAGGTTTTGTTTGTTGATTGTTGATTATTGGTTAAGGGTGTTGTTTATCTTATGGGTGAAGAAGAATGATTTTGATTATAAGAAATTTGAGATTTTAGAATTTATCTAGGAGCAAGAGAATAGCTTGTTGGGTGTAGAAACACCATTAATAAGGGCTATGAAGCTTTATTCCACCAAGTGTTTGAGAAAATGCCTAAGTGACCAAAACATGAGTATTATTACTAATATGGAATCCCTTTGACTTGTATTGATGTAGATTAAAGTTGAAAGGGTTGGCGAATGTTGTATTACGCTCAAGAGAAGGAAGTTAAGGTATGTGAGGCTAACTCTCTATGTTTGGGAATGTTAATGATTGTACCTACACTATGTTTCTTTTACCACGTTACCAATTGCCTCAAAAATATAGTTAAGCCTAGTTCCTTGAATAGTTGCAGAACTTCCATTCTCTAGCTTCGTAACTCGTTCATGACTTTCATTCTGAACATTTTGAAATCAGTGCTTAATCAATATAGACTTGGGTTTGATGCCCATGAGTCTCAGTCTAGATTACTCAGCATGTCATAAACCGTTGAAGTTTCAATTTTCATAATCAGTTCATGAATACATGTCTCAGTCTAGCTCTATTCAGCATTCAAGTATCATGTAACTCAGTATGGTTCAGTATTTCAGCATCATGTATTCAGTATGATTCTCAGTTCCTGAATGTTGAACACCTGTATTTGGGCCTGAGGCCGTAGTTTATATGCTTTATGCATACTTGGGCCTAAGGCCGTAGTTTATGATTTATGCATGTTTGGGCCTGAGGCCGTAGTTTATGCTTTATGCATTTTTGGGCATGAGGCCGTAGTTATGTATACCTATACTTGGGCCTGAGTTCGTAGCTTGTGCGCATATATATTGGGCTCGAAGCTGTAGCTTATCCATATAAACAGGTTGTTCATCATTCAGAAGAGGGAGTATTCATATTCTTACTTCCTTTGTTCAGTTCAGTTATCATTTCAGTTATCAGTTATTAGTTATCATTATCATTTGAGTTATGAGTTATCAGTTATCAGCTATATCATTTTAATTTCAGTTTCAATAGTTATCATTTCAGTTATCAGTTATCAATTCTTAGTCATCAGCTTAGTTTCAGTTTCAGTATTTATAATTCTTTCTTTTAGTTGCTTTACATACCAGTGCAATTCAAATGTACCGACGTCCCTTTTTGCCCGGGGCCTGCATCTCACGATGTAGGTAATGATTTACAGGTTGATGATTTAGAGCGCTAGGATTCTCGTACCAGCTATTTGGTGATCCCCAGTCCTTTCGGGGCATTATCATTACTTTACAGTCTTTCAGTATTTACAGACAGTCAGTGTTTTCAGTACTTCATTAGAGGCTTCATAGACTAGAGTAACAGTTAGCCAGAGTCACGGGCATTTAAGGTTAAGCAATGTTGCTACATATATGTTTTAGACTTATATTAGTTTATCTTCCGCATTCAATATGTTATGATATCACATGTTGATTCAGCCAATCAGTTGGTTCGCTTGGTCACATGTAGTCAGGCACCGAGTGCCGTGCTATGTCCAAGCCCAGGTTCGGGGCGTGACAAAGCTTGGTATCAAAGCCCTAGGTTCAAGTGTCCTAGGGAGTCTATGAAGCTGTGTCCAGTGGATTTTCCTTTATATGTGTGTGCCGGCCACTCATACAAACGGTTAACTACCAAGACGTCCAGGATCGTCTCACTTCTTTCTACTCTAGATCGTGCCATGAAGCTTATAACAACAGTTAACCTTTTGCTCCTATCGAATTCCATACGTAAATAATGCCCAAGCGATTGGCAAGAAAAACCCAAGGTTCTATAGATGATAATTTCCCATTGGGGTATAATTATGGAGTATAGGTTGGTAACAAATGATACATGAGATGATATTAAAAGTGGGATGCAATGGGCAGTAGTACATATTAGAGCATAAACTTATCAGAAAGTAAAAAAACAGTTATCATGTTCTATGGTTATCAGTTTACCTCAATTACCAGTTATAAAATCTTTCAGTTAGCAACTTTATGGTTATTCAGGATGCTAGTTATCAGTTATTCAGTTATCATATTTCCAATTTTTAGTGTATCAAAATTCTGGTGACTGGTGAGTATACAGTAATGCCTATGGGTGCTAAAAGAAAACGTAAGTAATAGTGATTGTAGCGAAATATTCGCATATTTATCAGATAATGATATACTCTAAAGGACATGTTTGTGTGTGGTAGTGT